CTGAACACACACAAAGTCACAGCCGAAATAAAAACAATAAGTGTGGCTTGATATCGAGTAAGAAAAAGGTTTATAGGTTGATAAATGCTGTGAGAATGGGTCTGCAGAGAGAATTTCGCTGCGATCCCAACTGTCTGTTATCAGCCTGCAGCCAGGGAGGAGAGATCAGCAGAGCTGCATGCACTGAGTGTGTGTGTGGATTGGTCAATTTGGACCAATCAGCGGGGGCTTAATGTAACGGCTCCATGGACGTAACGTAACGGCTCCACGGATTGGTCCATTTGGTTCCGGGTACGGTTGACATCATGCGGTACCCGGAAGAGTCAATGGACAGTGACGTATCTCCAACGAGGCGTTTTGGGGAGGTATTTTCTGTGTTAGAGTTTTACTCGCTACAGGGTGTACTTTAAGGATTTTGACTCTGCACACCGTTTACATGCAGAAAAACCTTCATAAAACACAAGGGGACTGGTAATAAACGGAAAAGCATGACATGGTACCTTTTTAAAAATCCATGGTAACATTGTATAGGCTTAAGTGTTGGTATTTCCGCCCTCTTCTCAGAAATAAAACAACGGTTTAAAACTTTTTTTATTTTCCTTCGCTTGTGTCCTAACTCATACACGCAGCCATTTCCTTAATGATAGTGATTTAAGAAGCAACCCCTCTCTGTATTGAGAGCAGCTTTTATCCCCATCACAATGTGGTTACAATAGGCCTTTTTTCAACCACTATCTGAAGGATTGTCATGATATTTTGTTCACACCATTATGCTCTTCAAGAATGTCTCTTAATGACTTTGGTGATCTACTGAATTATCTTCCTAGGTTTTTCTTGTCCCACTCTCAGCTTTACATTTTTGTTGTCTAAATGTGTCTGGTGTAGAGTTTCATGGTCCACACAGGATAAATCCTAATCACATGAGCGATTCATGTAATAGTTGTCATCGCTTAATATCTATGTGTTTAGGATTGGGAACCGGAACTCTTTTTCGAAGTAAGAATCAAATGCAAAGTTTGCAGTTACGGGAACCCAAAGAAAAAGGACAATTTATTACTGTTATGCATTTGGTTTCCTAACCAAGCACATTGGTTCTCTCTCTGGACTACGTGGCACTTTTGAAAGCGATACGTTTTGTTTTGTCATGGCACTATGGGAAGATTTAGAGATCCAAACACAGGACTGCAGATTCACTTGTACACTCTGCAACAACTGAAGTTCAGCACAGCCACGTCTCTACCTCTCGATCGCACCACACACTGCGGCTCCGCTGCCAGTATAACAACCTTCACCTTTCTCTAAACATAATAAAGGTCATGCAGCCTCTTCTACTTGCATGTTGTTTGTATTGATCGTGATTTCCTTTTTATGAAGTCAACATGCCTCCCTATCTGTGTTTGTGCGTAGATCTGAATTTGATCCGGCCAAGGTGAACTGAATTAAGTGTGTCCTTGTAACAACTTATAGAAACCAATGTTAGGGCTAAAAAAGAAAATGCAATGGAGGAAGATTATGTAGCTGATTCAGCTTTTTTCTTCCATTCAAACAGACCACAAAACCTCAAAGTGTTGCAATACAACATTTTGACAGGATATGTATATTTTGGGCCCACCCTACTGTGGTAGTCTGACCCATCTCATATCCTCATCTTTACTGCAAAACCAACGAAGATCCCAACAAGAGACAACATCAAGATGATCCTTTTATGGATTACATTGCTTCTTATCCATCAAGGATGTAAGTGCTATATATCTCTTCCAGATAATGTGTTTATTTCAGCGTTCGTGAGGGGAAATAAATAATATATTTTTTACATTTGTTTATTAGTAAGGGAATGATATCAACCTTTTTCTTAAAGGTTGGTATATAGTTACAGAACCTCAAACACAATTTATATTTCTGGCTGTATATACAGAAATAAATGTGTGGATAAAATTGCAAGTAATATATTGTTTGTTCAATCTTCTTTCCTGTATACTTCCATTGCACTTGTAGATTATGATTGTTATAATAATGATATACTCTCTATTGTCTTTTAATACAGATGGACTGATTCCAGTGACCATAGTTCAACTTGGTGAATCTGCTATCTTCACATGCATTTACCCCGATTTGGAGCATAGCAATACACGAGTCAAGTGGTACAAACAGAGTGTTGGTGATTCTCTTAAATTAATTACTACACTGTTGAAAGGCACTGAAAATGCTACATTTGAAAAAGGGTTTTCTCACTATCGTTTCAATGTAAAACATCTAGTTAACATGAGCTCTCTGACCATTTTGAAGACAATCCAAGAAGATAAGGCAATGTATCACTGCGCAGTCACTACGTGGAGCAAGGATGAATGGACGAGCACATATTTGTCTTTAGAAGGTAATACCTATCTCTGTATTTTTTTTAGTAATGTGAAGATAAAACAGGTGCTTTTGGTTTCATAATAATTGACAATTTCAAAATCTGACATTTTCATTTTGCCCTTCCATTACTGAAATTACATGATAAAAAAAAACTGTTTTACAATTTCCACTGTCGTGTTCTGTAGGAAACACTCTGAGGGCGACAAACGTTACTGTTGTTCAGTGGCCGACACTATCCGATCCAGTTCATCCAGGAGACCCTGCCACTCTCCAGTGCTCTGTCCTCTCTGACTCTGAGAACAAGAAATGTCCAGGGGAGCACAGTGTACACTTGTTTGGAGTCAGATCAGATAAGTCTTATCCTAACATCATCTATACTGATGGAAATGGACCAAATGAGTGTAAGAAGACATCGGACACTAAGAAGAGTTGTGTTTATCACTTCTCAAAGAACTTCAGCTCCTCTGATGCCGGGATTTACTACTGTGCTGTGGCCACATGTGGAGAAATACTATTCGGAGACGGAACAAAACTGAACATTGAAGGTAAAAGTGTTGCTGTTTATTTTAACCCGTTTTCTTCCTTTTATCGTTAATTGATAAATTAACGATTAAAGTGTTTGGGATTTGTTTGTATTTAACTCTAAGTTATACAGTTGATTCCCTATTAGCTTCTTTAAACTGTCTTTATGGATGGCGAGCCAATCTAATTTAAGTATTCCAAATGTCTTGGGCATTATTTTATCTGGTCTTAGACATCATTGATGTACATCACATGTTTGTAATAAGCAACCCAAGTGGTTTAAGTCTGTTTGGATTACCGTAATTTTCGGACTATAAGGCGCACCTGAATATAAGCCGCAGCAGCTAAATTGAATGATGTGTACATATATAAACCGCACTGGACTATAAGCCGCAGGTGTTTTAATGTTTAATTACCATATGTAAGGGTTCGTGCACAGAGGGGATTGTCGGGAAAGAGATGGCTGTTTGAGGAAGCTCCCATTTATTAACATTTCAACAAACAAGTTGCATATTTGCATAACGTATTCAAGTGTTAGCATTTAGTGCAATAGTAGCTACAGAACATGTGCTGTGTAAACTGTACTGTATCACATAGCGTTTCAGACACACAAACTTTTCAACTTTCAAACTTAAACGGTGCGCTCCCAGCGCACGTACCGGCAGTGATCTACAGCAGTGGTTTTCAACCAGTGGTACGGGGACAAACTGTCTCGCTCTCGTAATGTCTGTCTGTCTTGCTCTCGTTCTGTCTCTCGTACCACTCTCGGTTCCACTTTTACTTTTGCGCGCTACCTGTCTCACTCTTTTCCGGCCTCCAGCTTTTCCTG